CCCCAAAACCCCAAAACCCCAAAACCCCAAAACCCCAAAGAATGTTTATAAAATTGAAAGATATTGGTTCAATGTATTTTTTGCACATCTAAAATTTACAGATCTAAATTCCGTCTAGCTGTGTTAAGTTTGAACACACAGACTTCTTTGTTGAACTTTGATATATATGTCTGTAGGTTCATATTTCCAACTAACTCCTTCTCAGGGTTATTTAAATCTCTTCCTACAATGCTGATGTTAGAATTCCCAATTTCAACTCGCACAGTAGGAACTACTGTTTTGGGATTTTTCTTGTCTCTCTTTTTCTTCTTACATTTGAAACTTCAAATCTCTGATATTTTCAAAGAAAGAATTATTGTTATATTAACAATGAAAAATATGATAATTAAACCAACTGAAGCATATCCAATTACAATAATTTTTGACTCATTTCAAGAATTCATTAAGCTCAAAGTTATTACAAATCACAGCAAGGAAGTTTCATTATAAACATTCAGAAAGTTGTTGGATGCACTTGCAAAGGGCCGTTGTTGTATTTGGTACTTCAAGTTCCAATAAAACAGAATCAAAACTCAGACGAGCTGTCAGAGCACCTTCTCCTTCATTCCGACAAGGATGGCTGCTAAGAGTATTCTCCTTGTCATGAAGAAGTAGTAAAACTGAAGTGTCTTTGGGTTGTTTCTCTTGAATTCCAAGAATAGTATTCAGTGTCTTTCTAACTTGTCTGGGTAAGTCTTGATATTTTCATAATTCAGCAATGGAAATGCATAACAATAAATTAGAACTCAGAGCAAAGTCATCATCATCATTATTGAGATGCAGTATGAAGCTATTGCAACAGCTCCCTTCTGTTCTGAATAAAGCAAGTTCACAAATATGGACATGGAAAGCACCATTGATATCTCAATTATAAAGCGGGTGCTTGACTCGTATCTTAAGGAGTTATCTATTTTGACAACAAGCTTCCAGTACCATTTGGATTTACCTTTGGCTCGCTTGGATAATATAGAGAACAATACTATTCCAAAGACAATTCCCAGAATCATCAGTACTTTGTCAAGTGAATTGAAGATTATTTTGGAGCTATCAAATCCTAATTCAGCAAAGTTCCCATCGATAGCTAATGAACCAAAACTTAAAGTTGTAAGCAACCACTCAGCAGCCAAGCTCGTGACAGGATTGTCGAAGTTTGAGTATTTCATGAACTCAAAAGCAGCTCTTAAATTAGGAGGAAAGTTTATGCTCATGAGCCCCAAGAAGAATACAATTTGGAGAGTGTTGGCAAGAGACCACATCTGTTCCATTGACTTTCCAGTGAACACGCTGATACCAACAGAGACTACAAATGAAGCCACCAGTGTTATCGAAGCTGTTGATGAAGCTCCTTTGGCTGTCTCTGATGATGGCAGAACGTCAAACTTGTATTTGAATTCATACTGATTAGATATTGGAATTGAACTTGTGCTCTCAAAAGCCTGCACTTCTGAAAAAGCGACAAGCAACTCTTCATTGGATCCTCCAACAATCGAAGGAGACACTGAGTATTTAAGCGTAAGAATGTTATTAGAACTGTAAGATAGCTTTGATGAGGTCTTGTATGAAAAGGCAGGACCTACAAAAGCAAGTGATACTTCACTGCCTGTAAAGTTGTACTTCGTCATTGTGTCATTAAAGGTAAACTTGATTTCAGATGTAAGATAATCAAGTTGGTTACTTGTGATGATGGGTGGGAAATATGTGGATATTCACAAATCTCTGCCTAAAGTCTCGTTATACTCGCAGTTATATGAGTCTTCAATTTGTCAGTTCTTATCACACCCATCAAAGTCCATTGAGTTCTTATCGTCTCAAGTTTCTCCTGAGTCTTTAACTCCATTACCTCACAATGGAGTTCACTTGCTCGGCATTTCAGTATTATCACAATTAAAGCCTGTTTCTGGAGTGCAGGTTTTGCTTCAACCATCTCCATTATATAGATTACCATCATCTCACAGTTCTCCAGTGTCAAGCACTTGGTCTCCTCAGCTTGGATATCAATAAGTTTTAGGGTCGGTGAAGTCTCACTTGTAGCCATTCTCAATGAATCAGCGTGAGTTTCAGCCATCGCCATCTTGGTCATTACCATCGTCTCACTGTTCGAGTGATTGCTTGACTCCATCGCCTCACGACCTGATTCAAGTGGACTTACCCTGAGAATCGAGTGAGCAGACATACCCAGTTTCAATTTTGCAGTTGCTGTTGCAGCCATCTCCATTTATAATATTTCCGTCGTCTCATTCTAATGTTTGGGGAACTTGGATGATTCCGTCACCTCAAGTGTCAGCACAGAAATTATACACTTGGGAAAATTCTTGCTGGCAGTAGGAATTAGAGTTCGCATCTTGTTTGAGGCATACATTATTAGGGGACATAAACTGCTCTAAAACAAGTTATAAATACTTTTTTGCTTTACAAAGACATTAGAAAGTTAAATTTCAGATTTAGGATAGCTTAAAAATCAATCAGAAAACTCAGAATATGCGGTGTACTAAAACTAGCATCATAAAAATTTACCTCATACATCTGGTTGACTTGTGATTGGAGCAGGATATGTTGCATATCCTTGCATGAAGTTAAACTTAACATCATCCGCTTCTTTGTAGGAATCAAATTCATCTCTGACGTCAGGAGTACTTTTTAAGTGTCTATAAAACTTGACTGTGCTAATCATAATTTTCTCGAAGTTCATGACTAGCTTAACTTCGTCAATAGTAGGAAGGGTTGGATCTCCATTATGAAAAGTAGCACTAGCAGTTTTATCAGCATCATCATCACTCGTTCTTAAATATTTAGTTTTTATTGCATTCTCCATTCTGGTGTTGTTCCATGCAAACGCTCCCAGATAAGAGAGCGAAAAATTTTGAAGGACGAGATGAGGACTCGAATTACTAAATGAAGGAGAAATTGTTGATCCTGAATCAGTTAATTGATAAGTGTTTGAAGCCAGATTCCCTGCCTCGTCTAAAGAGTTAGATACAAGTGTTACCTTGGAATTCAAATCCAAATTGTCACCCAGCTTCAAGTCAGAATGCTTCTACTTCAACCATAAATTGGAAAGATTTTAGATAAGGAATCAAAGATGTCTCCAAAGTAGTAGAAGGTCCGAACACCCATCCAAGACTTGTTGGAATTATTTTATTGGGATTCTCAAATTTCTCTGAGATCGTATAAGTTGTACTATCACTTGAAGATTTCTGGCCAATTCTACCACAACAATTAACAACAAAATTTTATTACTCTAAAACTCAAACGAGGTATTCATAATTTCTAAACAAAGTGGCTGTCTTTGAGTAAGTATTAGTTCCTTTAACTCTATCAAGAAGATCCAACGGTTAATTATAAAGCGATACTAAAACACGCATTAGGCAAGTGAAGTAATATTCCTTTATGAGTTCTTAAGGATATGACAAAAACTGTGAAGAATATAAAAACCTCGGGGTTATTCATGGTCAAACAGTTCAAAGAATTTTTAATAAGCTAATGTGCTCTCAGCCTGTGTTAAGTATAGTTTTAGCCGCTCAGTTGTTCTTATTTTATTAAGAAAATTGATAATTTTGTTGCAAATAAATAGTTTTATGGTATAATCGATGTAACACAAATATTCTTGGAAATATTTTTATTTACGTGCTATATAAAAGAACTCATGAAAACTGATTAATAGAGTCTGCTCAAAATTTCACAAACTTACACTTTCATTAGGTTATCTTGATATAGGTACTGAGAACCCTTTTGGAAATCAAATTTGATAATATAGTTATCTTCGTACTGTGATTTCGTGACGTTTCTATGCTGAACTCCTCCATCATTAAGCTCATTATAAATCGAAAATATGGGAATTTGGCCATTCAGCTGATAATCAACTGTTCCTCCTTCAGACATATGACCAATAGAATGATAATCTGGGATGAAATAAGATGTTTCTGATGTTGTCATTGCCTCTGTTGTTACTGAGCCATCTTGATCCCAAAAAGTAAGATTTAATTCTCCTGCAGCTGGAGAAAATGAAGATCCGCTCTGAGCTTTGTATTGAAGTGAATAAAACTGCCATGCAAATAAGTTATGAGTTTTCACAAGCTTCATTGTCCATTTTTGAGAAGTGTCACTATCAAGAGAACATCCGAATGTATAAGTTTTTGTTGAAGCAGTGGCTTTAGCTCTGAGACAACAGCTAGCATTATGTATGCCAACAGTTCCTCCAATATTCCATTCTCCTTCAATTGGCAAGCAAAACAGTGCTAAAATTTATAAAAAATCTTACCGTAATCAAAATGACGAGTGTATGAGTAAACATATGCATTAATTGAATATTCATAAGATGCAGGAGTCTTTTGTTCAATTTGCCCATTAAACCTAACTCTGTAATCAATATTTGTTTTAAGAAAACCTTCATCTTTGTCTAACTGCAGCTTATCTGTCACAATAAGCTGAACCATCTCTTTACTAAATCCCCCAAGACCATCATCATAAACAACATCTGAGAAGTTAAAGACGACTGGGTAATTATTAGGATCGCATAAAGAGACCCCAAATAAAACTATCCACAATACTATTATCATAAAAATTATCTAATTCTTATTTTCAATACCTTCTTACATATTTGGGGTTTTGGGGTTTTGGGGTTTTGGGG